AAGACTTGGGCCCTGCAGAAAAAGAAGAGAGTCTTCCCCTCCGGTTGCTGCCCACTTGGCTTGGTCCCCAAGCTCACCCCTTCTTCCCCACCGCCTCTTTCCTTCTAAAGCTGCACCGCCTCCTGCCCCTCAGCCCCTCCCTCTTCCACAGACCACTACCTTCAGGTGCCGTGAGATGTCAGCAGCCCGCAGCCCACACTGCGCCATTTCCACAATCTTCCTCCTCTTGGCATCAGGCAGAGGGCAGCCATTCACAAAGAGCCCACCCAGCTGATTCACTCTGCTGGGCTCTGCAAGGAGCAGAAGAACCATGATGGATCAGACCACAAGCCCGCTTGGGCCACAGATGCTGGCCAGATTCCACTGCTTACCCTGAGCCCTTCTCAGCTCGGAGATCACCCCTGAGTGAAACCAGAGGCAAAGGCAGGCATTTTCCAAGGCCACACTGTACTCATGCCCACCGAAGTATTGTAGTTCAGGCTGGTTGGTTTCCCCTTCCATTGGAGAATGAAACCACATTGCTGTAGAGTCAGCGTGGGACCTGCCCCGGAGTCCCAACGACCTGGGCAAACTGCAGCTGAATCTGTTTCCTTGCCTGCCCTCTGGAGCCACCTCCTTGGTGACCAGCTGCTTCTCTGTAGTGGTACCAGGGCTTGTAAGACCCTTCCAGGAGAGGCACGTGTGCACCCCTTTCTGCCACCTTTCTCGCCTGTACCAATCATTAATATTTAGCGGTCTCAACTGCTCTGCATGCTTTATCTTTCCTGCCACTGGGACATCTGCAGAAAACAATCCCGCTGCTGGGGTGGAGAACTGGTGGGAGAGGACAGCTGTCCTGCTTCGTGGGATTCACCCCAGGGTCCTCTGGCTGGCTCCCAGCCGCAACAAGAAACAGCCCTGCTGCTCCCTCCCTCATCCTGGGCATCAGCCTGCGTCCAGAGTGCTGCTCCAGCTTCCTCCAGTGTGGCATCATTGCCCGAGGAGCCCAGAAGCACCCTCCCTTCGCTAAGAGCCCTTCAGGAGATGCCACGGTGAACGAAGCCTGTGTTCGCACCACAGGACAGCTAAAGACCTGAGGGTGCCACTTCCAATTGGCCATGTGGGGTTTGGATACTTTTAGCTGTGTGTGTGTGTGCGCGCGCATGTGCGCGTGCTGTGCAAACCTAGCCCATCAGGTTACTTTAGGGTTAAACTGGATACGGAATCAAACCACTTTCTGGGTTTATCTTTGGAGTAGGTGAATTCATTTTCTGGAAAAATCGGTTCATTAAGGAGACTAATCATGTTGAGCAAATGCCTTCAAGGCCATGGGTCTCCAGAGGCCCGGCCCCACTGGGCCATGGGCCTGGTGGAGAAATCCCTACCTCATTTCCACCCAGAGGAATGGGGGGAGTTCTGAGACTTGCTGGCTGGGATCCCCAAAACAGCAGGCGGGACAGTGGAGATGCAGAGGCCCCCAGAACTGCAGGCACAAGACCAAACCAGCCTTCCCAGTTCTCCTGCACAGCAGAGGGCTTCAACTGGTCAGGGGGGCACTGCTTACCACAGGGCTGCAGGGCATCTGGACCCCACCGGGCCATCTGTGCTGTGGCTGCAAGAGAAAGGGGGGATCAGCAGCCCAGCTGAGCAACCACAGTGGGCAGTGCACTTCAGACGTTCCTGAGGGGAGAGGGCTGAGGGTGAAGGTGCCAAGAACTGGCGTCCCTCTCGCGGCAAAACCGATGGCTGGGGCTGAGCGCCAGCCAGCCACCACTGTAGCCCATACTCTCCACCAGCTGTGGACGTTTTCTAACCTTCCCATCTTGTGCCCACTGAACCGGGTTGGTCCTTTCTGAACCACCTTCCCTCCCACCGGGCGGAAGGGAGCCCACACCGTACCTTCTCAGAGAACCTCCTGCTCTGCGCTGAGGAAGCCTTGCAGGTCGACAGCAGCGGGTGGGACGGGAGTCTGCGAAGTCCGCGGGAAAAACCAGGCTGGCTGGAGGAGATGGGGGAGAATAGGCACCGTCCTCAGCAAAGATGCCCCCCCCATGATGCTGTCCTGGGAATTAGGTAGCTGAGCCCCCCCTCTTGGGCGAAGGAAAGGGGAGAGCCTCTCCTTCCTCAGGTCAGTGGGCCTCGAGCTCCCAGGGGCCTGCCTCCCGCCCTCCCTTCCTCCCGCTCTGCGCCGAGCTTCCGCGCTGCTCTCCTGCCGCCAGCCAGAGGTCCTCGGCCGGCGAGCGGCGGTTGGCATTTCAGCACTAGCGCGGCGCGGACAGCAACCCCGGCGTCTTCGCCTTCCGGGCGCGCCGGGATCTTTGCTCCGCGTCCCTCTGAGGCGCGGTGCCTGGAGCGGCTTTCCCTCGGGCGAGGATCGCGGGCATCAGCC